TTTTTCTAAAATCTAAAATTGTTCAGGCCAGTAGAAACATCCAGCTGGGGTTTTTCTACAACCTGAAACACATTTAGTAATAACTTAAAGTAAGTATTTATTTTAAAATTTCCTTTAAATAAGGAAACTTTTTAAAAAGTGTGTGTTGAACAATAAAATCATAGGTAGCGGCTGCTTCTGGAAAAAAGGAAACAATAAAATAATTACTTTTTAAAAAATTTTAATTTAGTTAGTGGTGTATTACTCTACCATTTAAAGAACTATCAGTGTACTCTTTGGAATAGTTTAAGTATTTCAAACTTTCAAATAAAAACATAAATTTAATAAACATTCACACTTTAAAAAGGTTAAGATGGTAAGTTTTATGTGTCTTTTTTACCACAATATGAAAAAGCACTATCTGACTCAATATTGTTTCCAAAAATTTTCATTAACAATTTAAATCTAAAGTGTACAAGTGGAAATGCTTACAACAGTGTTTACTTATTTGTTATATTTATAATCTCATGTTTGTTAATTTTTTAGGTATGCATCTCATTTTTCCCTTTCTTTGACTTAGCAATTCTTTTCTTATTAACTAAGAGTTTAGTATCTAATCTGTGCTATAAGACACTAGTATCAAAATAAATTGCATAATATTAAATATTCTAATGCCTCCAACAAAATTTAAATCTGCTACTTGCTTTCAATATAATTTAAACTTAAAATTATCATAAACTAGATTTAGTTTTGTCATAATTATTTTCAAGAAAGACATTTTAAAATTAGCATATATTTTTCTGTAGGTTAAGAATTTGAAAATAGAAAACATTTTTAAGATTAAATGATGTCTCACAAGTGATTGAAAAATACAATGACTTAAGAAACAATGAGACTCAAATAAAAATGGCTAAGTAAAGTTGATCTTACTATGGTGCTATTAACTTTTCATAAAAATACCCTATAAATAAATAACTTCCAGAAATGTTCGTATACTTTTACTCTAGTATAAAGATATCACACTTAGGAATAAGTATCTTAATCATGTATGGGAGGAAAAAATTTTTAATATTCATACTGATTATCTGCCAAATTCATATATAAATAAAAATTTTGATTTCTCAGCATAAGTCAAATCTCTTTATAATACTATACTATATATTAAAATGGTCTTTCCACTTGAGATAAAGATAAAAAGTCATTATGGGAGAAACAAGAATTAAAAGTGAATGAAAGAAAAGTTGATTTATTTGGATTACTAATTAAAATAACGAATTGTTTATCAAACCTTGTATGGATGGGCAAATTTTAGAAAAGCATAATCATTTAATACTCACCACTAAAAGCACAGAATTTTCTTCAAAAATTAGCGATAGCAAGATTAGGGAGCTCAGAAAAAAGACTATTATATTTATTAATTTAACATAATGTTTTTTAGAGAAAAAATTGCAAATCACTGAGTAGGGGAACACAATTATATTAGCTAGTTTTAATTTGAAAAAAATTAGTGTAGATATCCAATGCATAATAAACATCAAAACAAGTAATGTGTGGATCAAAGAGCTAAAATATTTAGAAATAAAATAGATTTACAAAAAAGAAAAGAAATAGACCATTTATCAAACTTCTCAATGATAGATAATTTCTAAGCTTAGGAACAAAATATTCATAGAATAATGTAAACATATATATGTGTGTAAATACATATATGTGTGTGTTTGTGTTCTTTCTTTCCAAAAACAAAGAGTGATGTTTTTGGTCAAACAAAAATTTTTAAAAATTAAAAAAATATACACACACATATTAAGTTAGGAAAAAAAAAACCCAAAAACCTGTACTGGCATAAAAGAAAGTAACAGAAGACAAGAGAAAATTGTCAGAAAAGGAATTAATATTTTCAAATAAAGAGCTCATATAATTCGATAATAAAAAATATCCACAACCTGACCCAAACAAATGGGCAAAGGATATGAACAGATACTCAAAAAGGGATATTTCAAACTTAAAAATACATGAACTTATACGCAATACAAAAGCAAATAAGACAATTCAAAATATAAGAACAAAATATTTTTAAACTATTAAATCAGTATTTTAAAAATACTTGAATAAGAAACAATCATACAAAAATAGGTTCTCAGATTTTCTGGTGGAATTATAAAGTTTCAATCTTTTTTAGAAAGCAAATTGGCAGTATGTGCCAAATGCTAAAAGCATTGATATTCCTTAGTCTAGGGATTCTACCTTTAGAATTATAAGCTTTTAAAGGTCCAAAATATGGAAAAATACATACTCAAGATGAATATCATCAATATAATACTTATAAAAAATACAGATTTCAAAAAATATCCCAAACTCAAAGCCAGCTTTAGTATCTAGTAGCAGAAGGATATTTAAACAAATATTACATAGATAATAAATGTTACATGAAAACAACTAACATAAGAAAAATTTGACATGTTACGTGGAAAAACAAAGGATATCAAATTATCTTCATACTACAATTAAAACTTGTTTTTTTAAGTTACTTAAAAAGGGGAAAGAAGGAGGAGACACTAATATGTTAATAGTGAGTGTATTGGAGTGGCAGGATTCTGGATGAATTTTTTCCCCCTCTTCCAAATTTCTATCATATGTTATATGATCTTTGCAACCTAAACAATCATTTAAAAATCAGAGTAATTGTTAATATTATGAATCAATTTAAGCAAGTATACCTATGTAGGGTACATAAATATACTTTGGTCACAACAAAATTTTAAACACATTTGATAATCATTATTGAAAACATATTCATATGAAAATTTATGATAATTGTTCACCTGGAAACATTGTGTGATTTTTTTTCATTAACGCCTAGCATCTTCCTTTTACATATTTATAAATTTTAAAGGATTATTTATGAAAATAAAGCTTTGGAGCATAAAGTAACTATTAATTCATTGAGTAACGTCTCGTGGATTTCTATCATAATAGTAGAAAGCCTTCGCATGGGAAAATACAATTTTATGGTCCAATTAAAAAATCACAATTAAGAAACTGTAAAACTTTAAAGTCATATGCTTAAAAAAAATCCCTGAAACTCTCTGTATTCAAAACAAATCATAAAATATGACTAAACTGACATAAATTTTATTGAACCTGAATCTTCCCAGAAAGTAGATTCTCTGCTACAAGGAAGTCATGTAAACTGATTCCATAGTTCCTTGGCTCCTTTCCCTTCAGCTTTTAAAAAGGTAATTCCTTTAAAAAGCCTGACCTTTCGGCTATAATTTCAAAAAAGAACCAGCATGTATGTTTTCTTTAACTGCTTGTCCATGTTTGTAAAAACTGTGGGCAGCTGTTAGTGCATTCAGTAAATTCCTGACAATTGGGTGCTTTTTCTTTCAAAACATCAGAGTCCATTTAATGTCAGATTGAGGGATAACAGTAACAAACGTATATTTTTCTGTATTACCTCAACCTGTTCAGATTTTCCCTAACACAGAATGCTGTAGTATTCTTCATTTAGCACAGACTCTTAGAGCAGCCATGCTAACTGGTAATTGTTTCACAACTTTCCAGAGAGATATAAAGTATACTTCTGAGCAAAGCGTTAAAGCAGAACGGCTTAAACAGCAGGCCCGAATTCCTGCCAGCCTATATTTAGTTTGAAACTGAGCAGTAGCTTTGAATAAACTGAGAAGGCAAGAGAAAGGGGGCAAGGCCTCATTTTCTCATTGTTCTTCAGTGGCTGAAAAATCAAAGTGTATAGAGCAATTGATGCAGTGATCTGAAGTAGCTCTAAAATCAAAAGGATAGCTGTTGATGCATTTGCCTTCTACAGGGAAAACAAAGGAAGCTTTAGCTCAAACATCTGTAGACATCATTTTTAAGAGAGCCAGGCCATCCAAACTATTTCAAAAATGTCTTCCAATTGTTAAGAATGCAGCGTGTTATTTCAGGCAATGCTCTGACTTACTATATATATAAACTGGTATGTGAATTTGGTATAGTGAATCTGTGCATTGTATTTATGCTCATTTATAGACTTCAGAATACACTTTTACTACTTCAAGCTGGGGGTCACATGATTAATTTAAAAAAATTTTTCTAATAATTCAAATTTCATTTACCTTGGTGCTAAGTCTCCAGGAAGAAACTGCAGAATTGTTCTTGAAAGAAAACAGGCCCAGCTTAGACATGATTTCCAAAAACAAATTCGGCAAAAAATGGAAATCACATATGCTCGACTGCACATATACGTATACACACATATCATTTTCTAAAGTGAGCTTAAAAAAAAAAAACTTCAAACTTCAGCAGATCCCTATCCTGTAAACATCAAATTCAAAGTTTTCTGGCTGGATTTACTTGCTGATTTCTCTATAGGCGACTACTCCCTGGCCGTCTGCGTGGTTGAATTTTAACATCTAGGTCTCCGCTCAAATGCCTGCTAACTCTTGACTACTTGCATAATTATCAAGAGAAAACTGAAAAATGAGATTCAGAAAGTCCTGATTTTAGCTATTAGCATCCACCTCACCAGAGTTACAAAAAGGGAAATGACCAGTTTACTGTAATCCTAAAGCAATAAGCAATAGCAGAGGGAAAAACAAAAAAGCAAAGCACTACAAGGATTCAGTGTCTACCCAACTCAAAAGTGATTTTAGTACATGTTGGCAAACTAGAAATAATACTTTCATTATCATTTTCATACTAGCTTTTTCCCGTATACACATCTCGATTTTTAAATGGGAAATAAGAATTCTGAAGTTTAAGGTCCATATTTATGTGTAGCCTCCTTAAATTTGGAAATGCGAATGCGAATGCGAATAAGAATATACATTGTTTATATATAAAATCTTCAATTTTAGTGATGTAATATAATTACTCTTCTAAAATGAAACACCAAATATTCTTTTCTCCACACCTGCATTAAGAAAGTTACACGCAGAATTCACTTCAATATAGTAAGCAGTATTGCTCAGTGATATCCACACGCACATGTTCCTTTCCTTTCCTCCTAAGGGTTGTCTCACCTTGCATTTTGGACACTTCTGGGCATTCCTCTGCCCATGTTCAATCTCGCTGGCCCAGTGGCGCAACAATTTGTCTCCTTTTTTGTATTCCTTGCAGCTAACTCCTTCATGCCAAGGAGAGTGGCACTTGAAACACCAGACGAATTGGCAAGTGGGGCACTGGATCTGTGTAAGGAAAAGTAATATTAAGTACTAGGAGATATAGTTGAAGTGGCTAAAAAGATAAGCATGGTGATGCACAGGGAAATTAGCTAAAAGGCTATAATATGCCCAGATGTAAAATACCTCCCCCTTTCAAGACCAAAACTACGATAAGATATGACTACTCTGTTATTAAAGGAGGAAAGAATTGTTTTCACATGGGTAAGTGGCTGTTTGTAGACCACACGAGAATTAAACACTCGAGATATTCTGGAAATCAATTTGGCCTTAAGAAAATCTCCTAGATTGAAGGACAGAGTAAAATCTGAAGGCTCGTGACGCCCCAAATCCACACTCAGGCGGCGGCCCGTGAATTCACCTGTCCCTTGAACCAATTTCCCAGGCACTTTCATTACACTTCTTACTAATGGCTTCATTTACTTTTATAAAATCAAAGCCCCACAGATGCTTCATCAAATGAAAACCATGCTGGCAAATAAACTGCTATACCAGCATTTGCTATGAAACACCATCTAAAATAACCCATGTTCCTGGCTTGCTATTAATCTAAGGAAGGTTAAATATAAAAATAATACAAAGAATCATATTAGAAACATAAATGTACGGTGGTCCTGTGGCCTGTACCTAGGAAACTGTCAGGAAGATGCCTTTGTACATTCACCGCGTGGAGGTGTGTGTGAGCGTGTGTATGTTCATGGAAAATACTTGTCTTCCACTTGACATGGAGGACATCTTATCTGACTTTCTTTTGAACAACAGTGGAGTGTCCCATTCTCACACAGTACTTCCCGCCCGCACTCTTCTAAAAGCACACGGGCATCACTTGATCTTCCCAGCCCTATTTGTGAACTGATAAAATGTCTCACTACAAACAACAGGGATAACTGACTCTTCCCTGTGCTCCTGTTTATTACTTCACTGAGCCTGAGTGAACTGACTGACAGTATTTTGAAGATTAGTTAGAATTTCTTTTGGCAAACTGTGCACAATATCATTGCTTTCTTTTTCTGAAAACCACTTTTTTGACAATGGTGGTTCCAATCTATAGATTAACTGTGTGGCAGTTACAATCACAGCACTTCCGTTTATAACTCGAAGCACCACAGCATTCACCTATGTCAAGAATAGATGACAATGTAAATGTTCTTCCTATGCAAATGCGTGTGACAAAAGCATTTTGCTTCTACTTTACATCAAAACACAATAGTATTTTGTCATAAAATTTTAAGAATCTTCCTGTTTATTGAAATTCTGTTACATGGTAATGTTTACATGCATTATTTATTTTTATCAAGAAAATAATGCTGCAAAGTGAGTATGGACATCATAGGTTTACAAATGAGGAAACTAATGCTCACAGAGATTAAATAACTTGCCCAAAGAAACATAGGAAGTATGTGTTAAGAAGAAATTTAAACATAAGTTTGACTCCAAGGCCAGCATTCTTTTTACTGTACTAAAACACTTCCTCATACTAAACAGCACTCCTGCCTTGATAGCTGAAAACCAAAATACAGAAGTCAAAGAAGGTCTTGTGGTTAATCTATTCAGTGAGTCAGAATTCTACATGACTATCAACATAAGATGAATTTTGAAAATCCTTTTCAAGATTTTACTCAGATAAATTAGGAGACTCCTGGGTTTTTTTTTAAAGGGACGATACTATTTAATCATTTAAATTGATAATTTCTGCCTCTTCTTATCATTAAAGTTAAAATAAGTTATTTCTAAGGTAGAAAGAATGTGATGAAGTGGGTATGCTCCAGATAATAAAACAATGGGAAATGGTCATTCAAAAACAATGAAGAGCAGGTGTAAATATCACACAGGGCCTATATGAATGTAATTTTTGAATGTAATGACTGAAATGGACAAAAAGTTAAAAAGATTCACTTTGCCTCATGCTTCTCCTATTAGGTCAGAAAGGCTTAGATATTTAATTCAGTTCTCTTCTGTTACACTTACACATACTTCAAAATCACTACTGAACTCTAGCACTGTTAACTTTTTTAGAAAGCCCTTTAGTTTTTAATCAGTCAGTCTTAGATTACATTTATGAAATAAATAGTAGGAGAATGACTGTAATGGGTGCTTTGAAACTGGTATTAACTCAAAGGACGTCTGACATTATAATGGTTCAAGGAGCTTCGTGACTGAGTTTCTGAGCTATCATATCCATGAATTTCTACTGAAGTCAATCAGAGATGTATGATTCTCCTAAGGCACCAGAACGATACTCAGTGTCCACACCAGGGACTCTGGCTTCCAAGTTCACATAATAAACAACTAAGTCCCACTGTGGATCCTCCTGCCAATCCTGACACACAACACAGACTTTGGTGGCAAACTGAGAAAGGAGTTTTGCAGCAAGCTCTCAAGTGAAGATAAATAATTTAAATTCAGACTCACCTGCTTACTGTTTCTCACTGAAAACATTAAAATAACCACTGCCTTGCTTTAGATTCAAATAATACAAAGACTAATGACCCATCCCAACAATCGTGTTATTCCGAGACTATGCCTGAATTGTTTACATACTGACTTTTTGGTTTGAAGAGGCCTTACCATATTCTTAACCATAGTCAAAATTGGCCTTCTAATAAAACATGTGGAGACATTAACACTGCATCTTCCTCTGCACGAACTGCACTCTCACAACCACAGACCTCCTGCCCGGAGCGCCTGCTTTCTGAGTAATTCTATTCATACAGTGGTCACCATGCCCTGTCCCTGCCACTCAAAGTGTAGCTGGAGGAGCAGCAAAGTCAGCATCACTTGGGAGCTTGTTGGACACAAAGAATTCACGTCACTCCCCAGACCTACGGACCCAGAGTCTACGTTTTCTCAAGGTCCCCACGTTAAAATTTGAGAAGCACTACTCTATACCACGTGACCCTATCACACCGGTCACAACTGGTTCCACCAGGGATGAGTCTAAGCTAAAAGCATGTATCTACTGGACGGCAGGAGCTGTGTATAGAGGGAGCTCCTTGTTGAACAGAGATTAGCCAAGACAGCTCTTCTCTCTTAAGGAGTGAAAAAGGGATACACAGGCACCCTATCCTTGCTGTGCAGGCAAAGACACAGAAAAGCTGAGTGAGCATAGTGCAGATCACTGGAGAAGGGAACAACAGTCACTCACTCCTAGGAAGACAATGGGGGCCCTCACGCTACCAGAGCTAGTGTCCGACTCTCCGTGAGGCCCACCCGGGTGGCTGCTGAGACTGCTTTCCTGTTCTTCCTGCTTCCTGTGCAGCCTTATAGTAAAAGGCATTAAGTGAGGCAGCTTGAGAGAGCATAGCTCTGCTTCTTGTAATTGGAGAAAGTCCAAAGAACACACTCTGTCTATTGAAATCTTAACCAGATCAAATGCTACTTGCTTCAAGATGTCTTCCCTATTTTTCCCGACCACATTCAGTATCTGTCCTGTAGAACTTATCTTAGACATGTGGATGCCTAATCTTCCTAGCAGCCTGCAAGTTCACTGAGGGCAAAGGCTGTATCTCACTCATTCTGCATTTCCTGAGTTAAGTAACACGGTAACTTCTGGCACATGGTAGGCACTCAGTTAAGTTCTTTGTAATGTGAATTATTTTGCACAGAGTGAGTACTACATATGGCTAACATTATGTGAATTCTAAGAAAAACTAACACATCTAATTTATGACCAGCGGTTGAGACGGTATCATTACTTCTTAGATTACCAGCTGATGTTTACTAAATATTTTATCCACATGACACATTACTGAACATCATGATGAATGTGCAACTCTTCTACAAGAGGCAAGGCTACAAGTATTTCAAAAATAAAGTTATTAGAGTTAGGAATCTTGATTAACTTGTTCCAGAACCCATGAAAGATTAAATAACTTCATATTACAATTTTTACTTTTGAGTTCTCTTAGCTTTTTCTAATCCTGGGCTACAATGACACTCAGATGACCAATTAAACTAACCCACTCGCCCTAAGCGATTGGTACTTTCTCTTGACAGTTCATCATGCCAATTAAAAAATAACCTACAAAATACAAACAGAATTCAAAGCCAAAGAACACCTCAGATAAGTCTTTTCTTGTCTAAATACCATACACTCATGTATATCTATCTATCTACCTATCTATCTATAATTATTTTAAATAAGTCACAAAATGGTTACTGATCAACTCAAAAAATTACACAATATCCCTGTATAAATGTAGCATTGCCAATATGAACTAACTAATTCAGTTTTCCAAGAATACACACACCTACAGTCAATTAATCTTCAACAAAGTATACAAGAATATACAATGGAGAAAAAACAGTCTCTTCAGCAAGTCGTGTTAGGAAAGTTGGACAGCCACAGGTCAATCAATGAAGTCTGAACACTCCCTCACATCTACACAAAAATAAACTCTAAATGACTTAATTACTTAAATCTAAGTCAGGACATCATAAATCTCCTAGAAGAGAGTATGCAAAACATTCTCTGAGATAAACCGTAGCAACGTTCTCCTAGGTCAATCTACCAAGGCAATAGAATTAAGAGCAAAAATAAACAAATAATTGAACTTACAAGCTTTTGCACAGCAAAGGAAACCATAAACAAAATGAAAAGACAACCTATGAACTAGGAGAAAATATTTGCAAACAATATGACTGACAAGGGTTTAACTTCCAAAATACACAAAAAGCTCATATAACTCAATAACAGAAAAACAAACAACTCGATCAAAAAGTGGGCAGAAGACCTCAACAGACATTTCTCCAATGAAGACATGCAGATGGCCAACAGGCGCATGAAAAGATGCTCAATACTGCTAATTATTAGAGAAATGCAAACCAAAACTACAATGAGGTATCATTTCACACTAGTCAGAATAGACATTATCAAAAAGTCTACAAGTAATAAATGTTGGAGAGGGTGTGGAGAAAAAGGAACCCTCCTAAACTGTTTGTGGGAATGTAAACTGGTGCAGCCAGTTTGGGGAACAGCATGGAGTTTCCCCAAAAAACTAAAAATA